CCAAGACAGACTGCTAAATATACATGTTTAGGATTGGTAGCTAGAATTTAAGATACCCTATGCTAACCATATACTAACATACTAATGATTAGTTAGCATTAAGTTTTCAGATACCTAAGTGTTACAGCTATAGCTACAGAAATGCAGATATCAGGTATGCACTAACAGCAGATTTCTATTTGTTACTTATACAACAGCAGAAAAAATAAAATATACACTGTTAGAAGGGGGGGAAAGCACATCAGTATTTATAATGAGAAGTCATCTAATCTGTCCACTCTGTTTCTATCTACAAATCCATAGTATTTACAAATCAAGAACTAAATTAAAATTTTATCTTATGTTTTCTTCCTAATACAGACATGCTCTTTCCTATGATCTTTATGTGCTTAATGCAGTAGCTGTCCATCATATTTTAGTTTGCAAATAGATTTTTATGTCAGTTAAGTACAAAGTATTACATTGTTTTCATATTGGAATTATTTTACATAATTCTCCAAGGCTTTTAAAACAGTAATTGTTTAAAGATGGTCAACAACTTGTTTGGACAGATATTAAATCCTTCTACCTAAAGAAATGAATGACAGCTGCTTTCAAAGGCATATTCTCATTATCTGTTCAGATCTTTTAGCACTACCATGCCCCTCATGAAGAGACTGAATACTATATATAGAAATATAAATTCTGAAAAATCAATATATTTTTTCAATATCCTTTTAAAGTACATCATTAAATACTTTAATTTATTAAAATGTCACTATTGAATACAGATGATAAATGTAGGAAGTTTTCAAGATGTTTTTATACTTTTATTCTAATGATAAGACAAATTCACAAAAGGAATGGATCAGATGAATGTATTAAAGTGAGCAACCGGAAATATCTGTACTGACAGTAAAATAGTGATAGTTGGGCATAACTTTGATAAAATGTTATTAACAGGATGACCTTTAATTTTAGTTAAGTTATATTTCCACATAACATAGTTTTAAATCTGGAAAACTGAAAAAAATAGACTTTTGATATTTTGATTAGGAAAACTAGCATTCATTCAGTAGCTTGGCCAATAGAAAATACTTAAGATCTTATAGAATCTCCTTGCAGAAGCTGTAGTGTGTTAGAATGTGTATGAGTGGGTTGCATTAATTAAACTTCTCCAGATTTCATATAATTTCATAAAACATTGTTTTAACTTAACTAAAACATTCTACAAAAGTGAACAAATGCAAACTTTCTCAAAGATCAGTACAATTTTCCTAACACCTATTCATCCACTTGTTCTAAAGCTACTTTTTTCAGGCAACTATGTTTCTTAACAAAGTTTTAAATAAATCAAATACAGTGTAGCAACAGTTACTTTTCTCAGTCTCCCTTAAATGCATTGCTGCAACAAACACTCAGAATAAAAGGAACTAGATTTTCATACATAAAGTACTTTCAGAAAAGAACAGGAAAATAAAATTCCAAGTAGAGGTTTCAGAAAAATACATCCGATTTACAATATATTTATGATGATGCATGTGCACCAAGTACAACACATACAATAAAGCTATATTCCAATACAAGTTTTATACATTTGTATCTATAGAACAGATTTAAAATATATACTGTGAAGGGCAGTAGATTTCACATGTTCCTCCAGGGAATTCAACAATTCATGCCCACATGTTTAGGGTTCTGGCTAATGCCTGTGATGAAGTGTATGTGTGTGTTCCACAATTTTTATAGTACTTCAAATAGATTTAGGATAATAACTGAAAGCTAAAGGCTCAGTTCCTGCTTGTTATCTTAGATGTGCTTACAAACACATTGTCTTTAACCAGTATATGAAAATTACTTATCTACAAACACTAGTTATTCAAGTGGCATTCTTAAAACATATGGCATGCATCAGTCATTTGTCAGGTTTCTCTCTCTTAGGTTTTTTCTTCTGTTTTAATTAAAATTAAAATGTGTATGGCAAGCATAGAGAACACTTCAATAAAATGAAATCTGTAATCTTAATCTTAATAGCTTAATCTCTCCCTGATAAAATAACTCTTTTAAGAATTATTGATGTAATATTTAAAAGTGATTCTCCAGAAAACCTGACAGTGTTCTGCAGAAGTATAAAGCCACAAGACCATCTCAGGGCCAATGTAGGGCATATATGATCACAAAACCTACAATCTGATGCACACTGGTGAACATACTGGAATTTACTGGCTTGGAAACAGGTTGCAAATGTAGCAGATTATAGCAAACCAGGTTCAGATAGACAGAACAAAAGGAAGTAAAATCCATTAAGTTTCTTTAAAAAGTTAACCTATCTCTTTGGGCAGAATACCTGTTAATTTAGTTAGATTTAAATCTAGATAGGTCAATATTAAGTATTTTCCATGCATATGCAATTTTGCGTAAGAAACACAAAATTGATTACGAATATTTTTGAAATGTAGCTATATTGACCAGAAGGTTGTCAAACATTTACACTAATCCTGTATAGATAAAATTTCACATCAAAGAAACTGAAGAGTTACAAAATAAAAATACAGCAAGATCTATAATGAATACTTATTCCCAACAAATAATCTGGTGTTGAACAAGAAACAATTAAAGCACACACTTATAAAATCTGCTTGCATCATAGTATTTCAACCAACCCAAATTCAGATATATTATGAGTATATATAACCACCCTGTATGTGCAGAATCTTCAAAAATGGAAGGTTATGTTTTACCAGATGTGCTATGTTAAAACCTGTTGAACCAACCTGAATGCTGTTCACAGGTTTATATTTAACTGATACAATAAAACTGAAGACACCCAAACACAAGTTATCAACTTATCCATGTCTACAAAATGGCTTTAAATATATACTTTAAATGGCCACTAGCTTTCATGTGCTTTATTGAGAAACTATGAAATGGAAGTCTATTTCAGTTTCTACACATACCATTCTAGAATCACAACCAAGACACAACCACTTAATAAAAGTTCAGCTAGCAAACACTCATGAGTTGCAAGAGAAAATAATTGCTTGGGTTCAAACAATATCAATTTTTCATACAAAGGAGAATTCCCATAATTGGAATTAGAGCAGCTCCTCCAACATTAGTCACTGATTGGCTTCAAAGTGTGATTTATCTCTTTGCATGTTAATAAATTCAGGACAACTACTTTGCTTTATCTATTCTGCATAGGTGAGGATAAAGAGGAGAAAAGAGGAGCTGTCTCTTTAAGATGCTCTGGTCTATCCCTTATCCCACGTGGAAACCAACATCAGCAGCACTTTCGCATTAACTTCAATGTGATGCAAGACTAGGCATCTTTTATATATATAAAGCAAGAAAATTATTTATGGAATCCAAAAACTGTTGAAATAAACATGCCAGGAAATAATATCGGTTTTCTCTGAGAAGAAGTGACTCCCTACGTAATTTTTTAAAATGCTCTCTGGAGCACGTTGCTTCAACTTAGCACTATTCCAATAGAATGCACTTTACAGATAGGGGACCCAAACATTGGGATCCACAGCCAAAGAAAAGGTACTCCATAAACCGGAAAGAATTACTCGCGTGCATTAGATCTTAATGAGATCGTGAGAAAAGCAATACATAGGTATTACATTTCGCGCCACCTCCCCCCCTGCCATCTCTGCCCCCCCGCCAAACAAAGAGCATGAAAAGGAAGGTACAAAGTTTGGCAAATCTAGCAACCGCTCCTCGTTGCCCCAAAGTTGTGCGGCTCGTGCATTCCCACCTCCTGCCACCATTGAAGCGAGAAAGGGGATTTTCACGTTCTCGCATTGTCGGGAACGAGCTCTAAAAGGCTTTTGCCTTTCCAAAACTCTCACCAACAACAAAAATAGGCATCAGTTTTAACTCCTTGCTCTCTGCGGGCTGAAAAACCGACAGAAGAAGACGCGGGGCTCACTCCGTCCTCTTGGAGGGAAATCGGGGAACCGATACGATATGGGGCAATTTTTAGGAATTTTTTGGGCTATTTTTTATTTTGTTATATGCCTCAGTTCTCCCTCCATTTTGGTTGTTTATGATACTGACAACAAGCTATCCCTGCTCTCTCTCTGGATCTCTCCTGCTTTCAGTTAACGAACCCCCCACTCCCCAATACAACCCACCCACCGGTTCGCTCGCCTTCAAAAACTTCTCCCTAAAACCCACACAAGAAGGGCAAGAGGAGCCTCTCGGATCCATCGAAGTTAAATAGGAGGCAATTTCGTTTTTTTATGTGGTGGAGGGGGAAGGAAAAAAAAACTTTTGTCCAAAAAAAGAGGGAGAAGGGCGCTCCATGCCCCAAAGTGACTCCAGATCCCCCTAAAGCTTCAGCCGCGGGGTCCCCGGTTCTCTGTCCTGAAAGTGGAACCCCCCCGGAAGGTTTTTGCACAAAATGTGGCCGGTTTGACGCTACGGCTGAATTTACATTAATTTTCTCTCATTTTTGGGCACCGCGGGCTCTAATGTCTTCCGCTCCCTTCTCGCTGCTACTGCTGCTGTCACTATATTCACAGCACAGACGCTGAAGCTCAGGGAAGGGGGGGGAGAGAGACACACACAGAAGAGCGGTGGAAAAGGGGAAACTTTTCGCAAAGTTTCTGGAAAACTGCTCAATTACTAAAACCGAGGCGAGGGAGGGGGAAAAGACCCTTTTGCAGTCTCTCAAGAAACCCTCTCTGGAACAGGGAGGCAAGAGGGAGGGGGGAGAAGAACAAGAAGAAGGAGAGAGCGAGGAGGGAAACTCTAGCCAGATCGCTGAAGAAAGTACGGCTTATTTTTAGGGCGCCCTCCCGGCTTCTGCCTTGGAGCCCCTAAGAAAGGCAGCCGAAACCAGACGTGCAAAGGAGGGAGATGGAGCCGCACAAACTTTCCTCATCGCTGCTGCTGCTGCTCCACTCTTCTCGTCCCCCCTCCTTTTCCTCCTCCCCCTTCAGAATTTAAATAACCCTAATATTTCCCTGCTGAACCCCGGCTCCTGAACCCCAAATCCGCAACAGACTCACCGCGGGAGCCTCAGCATCCCCTGAGCGCCCTCTTCCCGCCTTTTACAGGGTTCTCCGATTTTTCTGTAATTTTTTCCCCATATTTCGGGCTGGACGCGGCGGGCCTGGAAATTGTTTGCTTTCCCCTCTTTCCAGCAGCCATTGTAGTGTATGCGCTGCGGTGCAGCGCAGCCTGCCGCACACGCCGCGCCCACACCGCCAGCCGCCCACACGCGCCGCGGGTTGGACACCTCCCCCTGTCACTCAGTCCTCTAACCACGCCTAGGAGATGGCGCCTTCGGCCCTCGCAGAGTGTCCTATTGGTAGGAGGAAACGCCACTCCGAGAACGCTAGGGAGGAACCGGGAGCGGATAGGCCATTCTACGGTTACTTCGGCTCTGTCTTTCAAAGTGCTCTGGCGAGACTGACTGGGCAAGAAAGATGTCATTATCGGCCGGGCTCTGCAGCCAACATCGAGGTAGGGTGCACCATTTATAAGGTGCCTGCCCAAGCCGCTGACGTCTTTCGAATTGGAGTCGGGTTCTCAGTTCGGGAGTTCTGATTGAGGTGAGTGTCGCCTCCCGAGAAGCTCCCTTGCGGGAATGTGGTGCCCCGATGGGTCTCATGAGCCTAGTTCAAGCCGTACCCGCCCTCCGTGCTCCCATTACAGAAACATCCTCCCGCTTGTTTTCTTCTCTAGAGCACGAGGCCGGTTCGTCCAGATCAGCTTCTTGAGCAGGGAGAGTGGAGGGCAAAGAGGCCGGGAAAGGCCCGGCACTGAGACGGAAGCCGTTGCGAGTCGTCAGTTTAGAGATGAAAGGAAGGGTTCTGGTGGAAACGGAGTGTGGACCTGCCAGATTTGCTGCCGGTGCGCTCAGGTGAGTCCTGTGGGGTTGCGCTCTCCTTGCGGCTGTTTGCTGTTCGGCCGGTGCTCTTCCTCCTGCACCACCGTTTGCCCTTCTCTCGACATGGCAGTTGCAAGTAGAGCGGGCTTCGACCAGCAAGGTGCTACCGGTTTGGTGCGCCCTGTAGTCCAGTGGCAGAGAGGGCTGCTGGCGGCGGGGAGCTTCTCGAGTTCTTCTGGGTTAAAAAACAGCGCAGGGAGGCAGGGAGCATCGACGTTAGAGCGTCCCAAACTTCGCTGTGCTCGAATTTGCCCTTGGGGTTAATTATTCCCGACCCGACCTTTTTCCTTTCCACTCAGTCTTCCGGTTTTGCAGATTGCATTGTGTTTTATTTCCCTGCCCTTAAGTGAATTACAAGGGAAGCAGGATACCAAGTGCAAGGGCAGCGGTTTCCTTCGTTATTGTGGGTACCGAGAAGCCTTTGGTAGAGGACAGAATGCTAGAGTAGATGGACTTCTGAGCCATATAAATGTTGAAACTTCACATGACATCCAGACTTATTATGTAGACATGTTGAAATTCTTTTCTGTTACTTAATCCAGTAGTAAGCAGACTGCAGGTTTAAAGTATCACCTTTATTTTGAAAAAGATCTTCTCTAATCTGAGTCTGGTACAAAAGTATGAGCTTAGAGTCAAAGAATTCTGAGTCAAAGGATTTGTTATGAGTATCAGAACAGAATGGTGCTCACAATCATTCTATGTAATAATACACTGCTAGTACCCCCACTTTTCTTCGTATCTAAAGTGTAATTTAGGGCAGGGACTAGGGAAGTCACTTCACTGCCCCCATTGTTAAATATCTTGTCAGTGCACCAGCCACCCGTCCTCAGACTCTGTGTGGCTTTTCATTTCCAGAAATGAAAAATCTGCTTATTTAAGGGTGCAATCGTGTGCATATTTAGAGCGGGGGGTGGGGCGGGAGGGGCTGTAGTAGCTATAGGTTCCTTTCTGCCTAAACATGCATGGAATTGCATTCTAAGTGTAGTAGGTTCTTCACAAAATGGCACTACTTTTAAAAAAATCATGAGATAACTTCCTTAAAGCACTGGAGAAATTGGGAACACAATGGTTTTGTAAACAAAGAATTGTACTTTGGTTCCATAAACTTAAGCTTCTCATAACCACATGACAGTGTGGGAATAAAGCTGTGAAGAGGGGATCAGAAACTTTGCTTCTGTTTTCAACTAGCTATGAATTATTGAAATCAGGAAAAATTAGCTTTAACAGTTTTTTCAGCTATCTATAATTCAGCACTTTCTGAATATAGCAAGCCAGGATCTTAAGGCATGGTTCGAAGTTGCTATAGATTTGAATGGGAAGCCATGTTTAAGTAATTCAGGAAATGTTGAATTATGTAGTGGCAGTGCAAGGACTAAATATGGAAGACCAAGATTCATGCATATCCCTGTTTAATAAGCTTAACATCTACACTGGGCCACCAAGTAAAAATTGAACACATTGTGGAACACATAAATGTAAAATTATAGATGCATTTGCTTTATCAAAACAACCACAACTCTATACAGTGAGATGAGGCAACTGCATTCTAAGATAAGCACGTATATCCTTTGCTCGCTGGGGAAAATGGGGGTGGGGGATATACTTGAGAATAGGAACTGTCACCACAGTGAAAAGAGTTCTGTGGCTCTTGAAGAGGTAGTTAATTTATTATGCTATCAGCTTTTGTGGACACTGTCTGTTTCCTCAGATACATCAGTGTGACATGATCCGTTGATTTTGGTGCAACATTGGCTTATCTTCTGAAAATTATAACCACAGAGGTAGGCAAAACAAAGATTTGATTATATTGATACTAGTCTTCTAGCCTGATAATTTTCCAGACATCTCAGGAAAGCTTATTCTCTCATGTTATCCATGTAACAGGTGTACATCTCAGCAGAGCTTGGAATTCTAGTGGGCTTTGGCCGCAGCCCTATGTGACCCTCGGGGAAAATATTAAGTGCTTAGTTCTGGGGTGGGATGAGGACTCATCTATTCCCTTTCCTAAGTATTTATTGCTGTTAACATATGTACATCCTTAGAAAGGCTGTAAATTCTAATGATGATAAAAGCTGTTTGTTTGTTTGTTTGCTGTCTATGAAAATTACCTTCTTTTTTCTAGCTTCTGAACTTAAAAAAACCACAAACAACATTTTAATGTCTAAAAAACTACAACGACTTCGAGATCATGACACAAATCCATGTATTAAGGTAAGAAGCTGAATTCTTATAAATTTTGATTTGTTTGTTATGTAGATTTGAACAATAAACCATGTTTTCTCTTTGAAACAAACTTATTTATTTATTTATTTAAAACATTTCTATGCTGCCCCCATCGCAACAAAACCTCGGGGTGGCTCACAAAAAATACAAAAAAACCCCATACATAAACAATAACAATATAACAATTTAAAAGAAAAAAAATAAAAACATTTAAAACCCCTGGTGCATTCTCGGCTAATTTAAAATCCTAATAAACACAATAATTTAGCAATTAAAATAAGTTTTAAATAAAAAGGTCTTAGCCTGGCGCTGAAAAACAAATAATGACAGCGCCAGGCGGACCTCTCTGGGGAACGCATTCCATAGATGGGGCGCCACCGCAGAGGAAGCCCTCCTCCGGGTACTCACCCTCCTAATATTATTCACAGAGAGGGTTCCCGGAGAAGGGCATCCGTTGCTGATCTCAAGGGGCGGGAGGGCATTTATGGGTGCAAGTGTTCCTTTAGATATCCCAAGCTGTTTAGGGCTTTATAGGTCATAACCAACACCAAATAAGCCTGTATTAGTTATGTATTCCAAGAGCAAGTTAACGAGATTCCTCTGGGATGTATAATTTGAGAATTGCAACAGATCAGTAGGCTATACAGTTGTAAACTATTAAGTAAAAAATAAGATTTCATTTCCACACATGCACAGAAGATAAAAGCAATTTACTGCCATCAGCTATGAATATATAAAACATTCTATTATACATTATTAATCCCTGTTTTAAATACATTAGTTCAGAATTATTTCTCAGCACCTAGTAATGATGTTGATCTGGTGCTCCAAGTTTGTTACTGGAAATAGCTCAACCATTCAAAGAGCAAAAAACACAATTGAAGATCTTTTGTGCTGTTCAACACACACACATAGATTCTTTCTTGAGCCTATGGGTTTTACCAGATATGAAATAGTTTGTTCAGTCTTGAAATAGTCAATAATTGAGTAGGATTAGTTATACATACCAAGTGCATCTGTCTAAACTTATGCATGCATCATTGGAAAAAGTCAAGTGTGGAACATCCAGGCTTCTCATTAGTTTGCATGGCTTGTCTTTTCTAACTGAAGGAAAATCTTTTCTTACTAAACTTTATGCTTATATATTAAAGGCACAGTCATATCAATTATGCCCTGGGTGCTCATAAATCAGAGTCTTTTGAGCATCCAGTGCAGAGCAGGAAGAGCAGTGGAGGGAATCTTTGCATCTCCACACCTCATGCTCTGCATTTTGGCTATCTGGTTGTCTTGCTTCAGAGGGGAGGGGAAGGAAGTATTCTGACAGTGTTAGGGCACTGTCAGAATACTTCCAATCCTGACTGCCCCTTTTCTTTCCCTGCCCAGTCACTGAAATGCCCCCTTTATTCCCTCTCTAAAGTCTGTTTTCTGATCTTGGAGAGGCAGCCAGTACACCAGCTACAAGTGAGCAAATCCAAGGTGTCAGAGCTTTATTTCTGGCCTTGGGAACAAGGAATCTGAATTATCCTGTGGCTCCTTAGATGCTTTTAGGGAGCTACTGGATCACTCCCTAAATTAATTCCTGTAAGTAATACATTGTGTGTAATTCTGACTTCTTCAGAACTTTATTATTATGGCATTTTTCATCCTGCAGGAGCTCAAGGCAGGTGACACAGTTTTCCTATCTTCATTTTATCTTTGCAACAAAAAACCTATAGTAGGTTTGACAGAAAGTGAGTGACTGCTCCCAAATCACCCAGTAATTCTAGCAGGGAGTAGAATCCAGATGCCCAGGTCACCAATCCAACACTGCAACTGCCATGCCACATTATTATACCTTCTTTTAAGCTAAACTAAATGATGCTTCCAGAAGCCTTCTTTTAGCATAGAATAGCTGTCCTGGCACTTGTGCTTGCTTGCTCGCACATGCTCTCTCTCCACGCACACATGTATATGTGTGTGTGCGTGTGTGTGAGAGAGGTCAGGATCTCTGCCTCATTCTCAGCAAAATTTAGCCAACCTCACCCTATGTCTTGGCAATGCCCTTGCTTGCATTTTACAAGTAGAACTTCCTGAGCTTGATATTTCTCTTACATCCCAACTGTATACTCAAGAGAAAACAGCTGTCAGTTGAAGGTGCAGTTTATTTAGTTTTCTAAAACTAAGGTTTAATGTAATTCTTTTAAAAACTAATTAAAAAGAAAAATATTTTAGTGTAAGGCTAAAATAAGAAATGGTATACATTTTTCTTGTACATACAATTTTTTCTTGTACATACAATGGGTAGATTGTGACCTAAATCACCCAGTCTTCTGGGTGGTACTGCCCATAGATAGAGAGTTCAGAGCTGTTCCTCTATCCTATATTCTGCCAGCAAGAGCCAGGCAGAACAAAGGGAAAGCAATTCTCCTTCTGCATACAGAAATATAGAAAGTACCTAGAAGGGCCTCTGAGCCCTTCTGGGTGACTTACCTTTCCATCTGTATGGATGGCACTACAGAGACTATAGTATATTGTATATCTTGGCCTCTTCCTTTCACTTACCACTATGTCCCCTTTTACTCCTTGAGAATTTGACTTTGAGAATGCATCCATAGTGAGGGGAAGGGATGTGGGAGAGAAAGTCTGAAGGAGCAGTGAAGATCTACAAAGGGATTTCATCCACAACTATAGGTAAACTACAAGCCCGTAGAAGGAAAGCTGAAACATGTTGTCTCAGGGCCATATAATTGGTCTCTTATTTACCTAATGCAAGGTAAGCATTGGTTGGCGTATGCTCAGCCAGCACTTTACCCTTATCTGCAGTTGGGGGGACTTCAGATATTCCAACTAATGTACAAAACCTATTACAAATAGATTTTTTTGGCACAGATGATTGTTTTGATTTGTTTCATTTAGAAAATAATGTTGAGGTATCCAGTTCACAGTTGGGTGCAGCTTTTATTTAGATTGATAAGTATGAGATTCTTTAAACATGCTGCCTAAATTTGGAAACTGCAAAGCAGTTTGGAGTCAGTTGCACTTTAACCCTGATAGGCTTACTCAGAAGTATATCCCCTTGAATGTAGCATGGATAAGTATGCTTCAGATTGCAGTCTTAGACCAAACTTTGAGGAAATGGATATTAGTACTATTAAATTAAGAAAGTTTTTTTCTTCACATAAGTATATATAAGATTGCAGTTCTGTTGTTTAGCAGTGGTTCAACCAGTCTATGTAGCACTACTTAAAGCTGAAAGTACATATTTGGGTCTTGTTACAAATCTGATTTCTTTTCATATTCAAGGAAACAGATGCATCTAGAAAATGTATGGATGACAGTAACTACAATAAAGATGCATGTGCCAACTATTTTTTAAGGTACAGAAACTGCAGAAAATTCTGGGTAAGTAGGCTTGAAATTGCATCACTAATTGTATTATAACCAGAATGTTCATGGCTTTTTTTCCACCCACGTGGAAGCATAAGTTCAGTTTGGTAATATTGAAAATAATAGTGGAAAAATTGCAACATTCACAGGGCAAGCTATCTTAAAATGACTGTAGGTATATAAACCCAGAATTATAATAGAGAGATTTGAATAACCCAACTCTATAATGTATTTATTGTTGTTAGTCGTAAAGTCATGTCCGACCCATCACAACCCCATGGACAACATTCCTTCAAGCCTTCCTGTCCTCCACCATCCCCCGGAGCCCACTTAAACTCATGCCGACTGCTTCAGTGACTCCATCTAGCCACCTCATCCTCTGCCGTCCCCTTCTTCTTTTGCCCTCAATTGTTCCCAGCATTAGGGTCTTCTCCAGGGAGTCCTTCCTTCTCACTAGGTGGTCAAAGTATTTGAGTTTCATTGTCACTATCTTCTAAAGAGCAGTCAGGGTTGATCTCCTCTAGGACAGAATGGTTTGATCACCTTGCAGTCCAAGGGACTTGTAGGAGTCTTCTCCAGCACCACAATTCAAAGGCCTCCTTTCTTCGGCACTCAGCCTTCCTTATAGTCCAACTTTCACAGCCATACATTGCAACTGGGAAAACCATAGCCTTGGCTATACACACTTTTGTTGGCAGAGTGATGTCTCTGCTTTTAGTATGCTGTCCAGATTTGCCGTAGCTTTCCTCCCCAGGAGCAAGTGTCTTAATTTCTTGGCTGCAGTCCCCGTCTGTGGTGATCTTGGTGCCCAGGAAAATAAAATCTGTCACTACCTCCATTTCTTCCCCATCTATTTGCCAGGAAGTGAGAGGACCGGATGCCATGATCTTAGTTTTCTTAATGTTGAGTCTCAAGCCAACTTTTGCGCTCTCCTCCTTCACCCACATCAAGAGGCTCTTTAGTTCCTCTTCACTTTCTGCTATTAGAGTGGTATCATCTGCATATCTGAGGTTGTTGATATTTCACCCAGCAATCTTAATTCCAACTGGTGATTCATCCAGCCCCGCCTTTCTCATGATGTGCTCTGCATATAAGTTAAATAGGCAGGGTGACAGTATACAGCCTTGCTGAACTCCTTTCTCAATTTTGAACCAATCAGTGGTTCCGTGTCCCATTCTCACTGTTGCTTCTTGACCCACATATAGGTTTCTCAAGAGACAAATAAAATGGTCTGGTACTCCCATCTTTTTAAGAACTTGCCACAATTTGTTGTGATCCACACAATCAAAGGCTTTAGCATAGTCAGTGAAGCAGAAGTATTATAATGTATAGATAGACTTAATTCCAATAGGACAGTGTAACACTTATTGTATTCATCAGGAATGATTTCCTGCAGCATTATATGTTTTTACAGCCTGCAACTTACAGATCATAACTAGCTGAAACCAACTTCATGGTAGTCAGGGTAACTGAGTGCAACTAACTGGATGTTGTGTTTCTCTGTTCAACTAGTAGAAACCAGATGGTTTTCCTTTTACTGCAGATAGTAGCTTCTCAGCTGACGGTGTTCACTGAAGCTGTGGAAGCTTTCTAAAATGGGTCCCTCAAAGTACATCTTTGATTCCTCTCTAATACTGAAATAATTTCCCATGTATGAGGCTGAAAAAGCAAAAACCAAAGTGTGGTTCTTCAGGCAGTTCTAGGAAGTTCAAATTTCCTGGTTCAGATTTCTGCAAGAAATTATTTCAAGGACAGTTTCAATCTAAAAAAAAATGTCAGTTGTCCATTAGTAGTCATGATTAGAGGACATGATTTGTATTCTGCCTTACATGTTTGTATTCTGGTATGAGTAGTTAGCCTTCTCTACTAATATTTTCCTGCTTAACCTGCTTCATAGTGAGACAGTCTTTACCATCTTGATGGGCCCAGCTTTCTAGGAATTGCTCATCTATTATAATGTAATGTGACTCTTCCAACTGTCACACACATTTATCTTGATTCGTGTCAACAAAGAAAACTTTAATTACCTTGCAATTTATGTGCACCTGTGCACTGTTGCATAACAACAGTTCTTTTTGTTAATCTAGTCTCATGAAACACAGGTAAAAGCATGTCTTTGAATTGCTGAAACTGGAAATACAGTATCGAAATACTTCAAATGCCTACTTTGTTGCTAATTAAGTGTATTAATATGTGATAAATGAGTACTTTTTATTTTTAGAATGGGATTATGATGCAAAGAAGAATTGATGGGATACAACCAAACATGCCTACAGCAGAAGAAAGAGAGAGAATCATGGCTTCAATGGAAAGAATACCATACTGATCATGCAGTGGTTTAAAATGTGCAATACTTAATGATAAACAAGGTGCTCTGAAAAGTGTGTAAAACTACCATTGCTTCTTTAAGCATCCTTGTACAATGTTCTCTGAACTATTATTAAATTACTGCCTCCATAATATGGGTTTTATTGCAACCAAACAGAAACCTTAAGACCTGACGATTAACATGCAGGAAAAATTCAGTGACTGGCTGTTTTTATGAAGAAATTTCATAATGTTTTGTGCTATTATAAAGATACTGAAAGGTAGGATGCAAAAATATAGTAGTGATGGATTTTTAGTTAACCTACCATGGCATCTTAGTTTTGTATATTATCAGTGACTCTTGTTGCAAAGCAGCTAAACATTCACTATTAGATTTGTTTTTCATAATTAGGGATACTTGTGTTTAAGGCATTTTTGCTATTATATCAGTACCACAATTCCCTAACTGATAGAGCAGCATATTTCAATACATTTGTGGACATTTGCACTATTAATTCAAAAGTGGAATTCTTTGCTGTCTCTTTTAGACCAGTTATACTTAAATACTTTAGTAGAATAATATAGTATAGCTTAATAGATCTTCAAATAAACCATGTATCATAATTTGTTTGCTATAAACCATGCAAGTTATTACTGTACAAATTTGAAAGTAATCATGACTTTGCAACTTAAGAATACATATCAGTCTGTGAGGAGTCAAGTAGCACTGATTGTTCACTTTAAGTAAATTTTAAGTGCATAGGCATTGAAGCTTGCATGCAATCACTTCATGCAGATAGGCACACTTAAAGCGATCATATGTTATTCTTATTTTCTTCAAAGGTAATAGCTTATGATTCCATCCAGTCTTATGTTAAACTTTGGGGTTCTCTCATAGTACCATATTTTCATGTGTTTCCACCCTTTGAGGCAAAGACCTTTTGAGTTTTGCTATGGTAATGTCATCGGCTACCTCACAGTTTGAACATAAATGGGTTACAGGCTCTTTCTTGTGGTGTGGTCCAATTAGTTGTGGGGCAACAAGATAATTTTGCAAGGGATGAAATATAGTAATGTAGGCCTGTATAATTCTTGAGGGAAGAAATAGTGTGAATCTCAAAAGTCATAAATGAAGCAGTACTGTTCTGCAAGCACAACCATATTTTGAACACTGAGATTGTGTTATGTAATAATGCCTTGAGGACCACAGCTTCCCATTGCTTAGGTACACAATGCTAGAGAAGACCATAGACCAGCATCCTAGTGTCATTCTATTAATGCAGTAGTAGGATGGTCTTCTGGTGCAATGTCAGTAGCATTAGCTTGTGTGCTGTGTTTTATGTGGAGTCCTGTTGTGCAAGCTGATGCTATGGGCATGGTGCTACAAGTTCCTTCCACTAGGACAATGAGGAATCACAGCATATGTTTCTTACCATAGAAGCTCCTGATTCTTCAAGTGCATCCTTCTATTCTAGTTTCATATTGCTTATACTAGACTAGCATAAACTTTGAAACTCCATTTTCTCAGTGGAAGAGCCCTTCTATATGTAGGACACCTTTGTATCATTACCATGGCTGATTTCCTGACTACTTGCAGTTAATGGTTGATGCATCCCTACACCCAATGTTCATTTTACCACTGAAAAACCATATTGCTAAATCAGATACCTTTAGCTTTAAACTAAGAATTCTGGTTGACTACAATTCTAAAGTTACTGTGCAGGTTACTGCTGTTGAAACTGCACAGTAACACTGAAACTATAATGCTGTCAAGCTGTTGCTGTTATGTGCCATCAGATTTTCCCTGACTTACAGCAACCTGTGACTGAATACCCTCCAAAATATTCTTTCTCTGACAACTAGCTCAGATCAAAGTTTATGGAATTGATCTGTATCGTATTTGCTTTTTGCCTTTTTCTGCCTTTGACTTTCCCTAGCATGGTTGTCTTCGATGAATTTTGCTTTGTTAGAGTGTGCCCAAAATAGGACAGCCTCAAGTTTCATAATTTTTGCTTCCAGTGCAAGATCTAAGACCTACTTTTTGTTTTCCTTTCAGTAGGGTATTTGCAAGACTCTCCTCCAGCATCCTCTTAAAACATACCAGTTTTCTTTCTCTCTGCTTTCCTCACTGCTCAGTTTTCATGCCCATACTTATTTATGTATGTATGTATGTATGTATGTATGTATGTATTTAAAACATTTCTATGCTGCCCCCATCGCAACAAAGCCTCGGGGTGGCTCACAAAAAATAAATACATAAATGATGATAATATAACAATTTTTAAAAAATCGTTTAAAAACCCCCAGTGCATTTTCAGCTAAAATTTTTAAAATCCTAATTAATTCAATAATTTAACAATTAAAATAAGTTTTAAATAAAAAGGTCTTAGCCTGGCGCTGAAAAACAAATAATGACGGCACCAGGCGGACCTCTCTGGGGAACGCATTCCATAGATGGGGCGCCACCGCAGAGGAAGCCCTCCTCCGGGTACTCACCCTCCTAATATTCACAGAGGGTTCCCAGAGAAGGGCATCTGTTGCTGATCTCAAGGGGCGGGAGGGCATATATGGGCACAAGCGTTCCTTTTGATACCCAGTTCCCAAGCCATTTAGGGCTTTATAGGTCATAACCAACACCTTGAATTGGACACAGACTTCAATCGGGAGCCAGTGGAGCTGACAGAGAACTGGGGATATATGAGAACAATGCCCAGTCCCCGTCAGCAACCTGGTAGCTCTATTCTGCACCAATTGAAGTATCCAGACCGTCTTCAAGGGTAGCCCCAAATAGTGATCAGAATACAATAGTGTAGATGATCTTAGCCTTGATCTCCAGTGAAGGATGCTTACACTTGATGATATTTTCCAGTTCCTTTGCCCTTCCAAGTCTCAGTCTTCTCATTTCTTGGTGACTGCAGCTGCTGCATAGAACCAAATAACAAATGCATGACAGTATTTGGTCAAATTCAAAGAAAATGTTGTGTTACTTGACATACAACCTAGCTATTGATGTACCATAAAACCCTTGGTGTGCCTACTTACTGTAGAACCTTTTGTGACAGTATTTACCTTACCTTACCAATTTTCTGGTCCAGTTCAACTGTTAAAGTTCATTTTTTATAGAAAGGTTCAGAATATAAGAGGTCATGGCTTGAGAAAGAACTCTAAAAAGGTGCTGGAAAATCTGTGTAAAACCCGGTATTGGTTGTAGTATGAAATTAAAAGCTGATTAACTTTTCATCAGAGTCACATGTTAGAGAGCAAGGATGGACAAATGCCATAGCTCCCATTATCGCAAAACTGGCAATGAGTGATCAGAATTGTATTCTAATAACATTTGGATGGCCCCACATTCTTCACCCTGTTACACAAAGGCAAGCTGTGCCGGAGAAGATTCAGCATAGTTTTGCAAAGAAAACTTTTCTGCTAAATATTTAGAGTTCTTTGAGTGTCAGTAAATGTAGACAAGGGTCATTCAGTAGACATGGATTACCAAAGAGTCCTGAATAAACTTTGTAGTCATGAACTAAAAGGAGGGATTCCCTTCTGGATTGGTAAGTAGTTAAAAACCAGAAAATTGTAACAAGGAATAAATTCTCAGTTCTCATAATAGTAAATACAAATTATGTAGTCCCTCTGGGTTCTGTAGTGGACTTTTTAACTTGTTTATTAGCTATTTAGTGTTGGGTAAGTGGTGAAGTGACTAGGTTTGCTCACACGTAATTATCCAGGGTAGCAGAAAGCTCCAGAAGGATTCTTCCAAATGGGGAAAATTGTCATTAAAATGGTAAAATTCAGTTCAACAAGAAAGCTTAAAATGATGTGTATTGATGTCAGACCTGACAGGCATAACCGAGGTAGGCCTTCAGGCTGATCCAGCACAAATGTAATAAGCCTTCTATATAAAGTAAAAGTTGCTGTGCACCTGCCTGGTCATTTACTTTATTTACTTGGCCATCCTAACAATTTTCATTTCTAGAGTAAAACATCAAGGTGAAAACACCCAGACTAAAACATACTTTGTCAAATGGCTTCTTCCCATTTCAGTAGCTGCTCACATTTAGGAAGCACCAGAGGTGAAAGATGTATTATAGGGTGAGAAGTGGTACTCTGGAATGCAAAGTTTAGCATTGGACTTCTGAATATACTGTATATACATTCTTCTGCTTCTTCCATCATTTCCTGGTTACTGAAGCTGGAACAATGTTTCTTTTTGTTGCCAATCACATGGTTCTTATTAAGAGAGCTTTGATTTTGGTTCTCTGAAGAGCAGAAGCATACATTTAGAAAATTGGAGGTATTTGAAAAGTTTAAATGCCTCCTGTACCTAAGGTGCTAGTAGTAACCTTCTGAGAAAAGAATTTCCTGTAATTTAATCAGTTTAGTTCTGTGGTGTATTCTGTGCTTGGGAAGAACATGTATTTTAATGAAACTCAATCTTGTATAAAGTGATACTATTGGACTTCAATATTCAAATGATGATTACAATGCTAACTTTAAAATCAATGTAGACTGCAGAGCGGGTAATGGTAAGGCTGCAGCGCTAGGAGAAGATCATGTTTGTTAATGAAAAACATGGGGATGAAAGATTTGAAAGACAGCAGAGAAAACATTTCTGGTTAGACAACTGTCTCCAACTTGGTGTCCCCCAAACATTTTGGACAATAGTACCAAATGTTCCTTTCTGTTAGTCATGGGTTAGGCTGATGGGAGTTGAAATCCAAAGCTCCTGGAGGCATCACTTTGGGAAAGTTATGCTAGGAGGAAGTCTCAGACTTAAGGGAATGCTGGCTTGAGACTTCAGTAGTAGGCAGCATATTAAATGGGAGTATAAATAAAAAGTATAAGTATCTCCTTTCTCTTGGTCCTGTTAATGTGCCTTTAATAGTAGCCTGGCAAAAACTTGCATGAAAAATTTCCCACTTCATGCTTCTATGGAGCTAAATGTGTGAATCAAATGGTTGTTAAAAGCACAGAAGGTGTCCTGAATCTGCTTCCTGCATATAATATCAACTAGGAATTGATGTTTACAAGAATAGTTAACCCTGACCTTGCATTTTAAATCAGCTTTTAGGCTGGTGTCGTGGTGCATGTAAGCAAACTGGAATCTCTGTTAAAATCCTTATAAAACAGCCCTTATAAATGGATAT